AATGGCAAGACGAGTTCGATTTTGAGATGGAGCCTGGTGACCAGGGATTCAAACAAATGCTTCTGCCCAAGTTACAGATGTTGCAGAATCATCTGATCAATGAATTCTATGACAGCGAGAAGATGGAGACGAAAAGGAAAAAACTTTTGGAGACCACGGTAAGTTTGCCGAAGTTCCAAAGTTAGCAAGCGTTTTTTTCTAATGTTTGATTCCTGAGGGGTTGAGGGGGAGGGGACAGACTATTTGATTCCAGAGGGGGTGGAACAGATGATATAACATCTCACAAAATTCTCACAAATTCTTGTGCAGATCAAACAAAAGCCCCAGATTACAATTATCAGTCCAGTACAACCGCCTTCAGATCAGTCAAATCACAGCCAAAACGCGAAGTCACAGAGCATGGCTATCGGCCCAGTACAATGCGAACGGACACCCACCAGACAGACGGTAACAATACTTGCACTTCCTCCTTTTCCTCCTTTCCTTGGGCGCTTGAGTTTTCTATGTTCCTCTTTCTTTTGCAGTAAACCTAGTTATTTTTCTTTCCAAGTCATTATTCATTTCTTCGGGTTTACATTCTCTCTCTGTTGAGAATTCACCACTGAGGCTGACAGTCACTATAACACAGTGTTGCTGATTTTCACTTAGATTCAACCAAAATCTCAGATTACGACTGACCACGTGAGGAGGTCACAGACTTTCAAGACAACCCGCAGACAATCGGTAAGACGTTTTGAAATTTAATTCGGATCTCCCTGGTTGAGTAAGAAACCTTTAAACGAACTTAAAAAGCCATAGATTTGTGCTCAAAAATTCTCATTCCTGATTGGTCGATGCATGGATAGATTATGGATGGCAAGAGCGGATTTCTGTAGTGCACTTCTTCGAAATTGAAGCTGAAGCTGAACCATGTTACTTAAAAAAAAAACTTTGAAAACCTTCATGTTCGATTTGTGTGCTACAGCTATCGTCATAAAGTTAACGTGGGAGCATTTTCTAAAGTGCTGGAAACTATTTTGTTGAGTAACGTGCAGCGACGTCGTACAAATTCCCTTTGGCTAGTGATTTTGTTCTTAATAAAATGCATAGATGACAGCTTGAACTCCTTGTGATTTCGTGCTTTAAGCCATGTTTTGAAATATTTTCAAATTGCACTCGTCCAGTTCCAAAAGCTTTCAAAAGATCACTCGTGCCGATAAAATGAGCTGGAATTCATGCAATTTCCAATACTTACTCAAAAATGCTTTTAAATTTTGTATTAATGGTTTTGAGATAATAGTACAGTAAATGTCGTAGTGTGGATGTAATCGTCGGGAAAAATCGTATCTAGAAAACTGGTTTACTCAACCAATTAATCTATGATTATAATTGATATTTATCTTTTAGACCAATCATATCTAATCTAGAGTCTAACCTCATTCACCACTATTCCATATTCCAGTTTTTACGCCTTTACAAAATCTAAATTATCAAGACTTTTTCTTTGTTTTAGGAGCATCCTGCTAGAAAACTTCGAGTAAGATTTGCGGATGAAAGTCCACCAGGACGAAATCTCACTGATGAAGATAAAGAGCGTTTTAAAAGGCTTCAAAAAATGGAAAGAAGGTGAGTTTCACAGAGACATGTCGTAGACGTTAAAAGTTATGTTTTGATGCTGAATGATACTGTTACCTTTAGTTCAGTGAAGCAGAAATGAACTCGGCAGGCGTTTAGTAAATTGAGAGTGGTGTTTGGCTAACACATTGAGGTCTAGTTATCGCAATATATCTTATGTACGTTAAGATTATTATTTTTAAATAAATAGATTCCATATTGCCATATGCCTCTGTTCTGTAATAGATCGCAGATGACGTAAAAAAAAAGGAGAGAACAAACATGTGGCGCACAAGGCGCGCCTCAGGACTAGGATGTCAGTTAATTGCAGTTAAAACCCCCTCACTTACGTCCAGAAATGCATGCAGTAACGAAAATGGTGAAAATGTGTCAAAACCGTCAATTCCGCCGAGCTGATTTCGCTTTGACGATCTTGACTAAAATTCCCCAAAATCGTCAAATCGAAGAACATTCACTCCGTTTGACGAAATTTCGTCAAATCTGCCATTTTCGCGACTGCGTGCATTTCTGGACATAAGTGAGGGGGCTTTAACTGCAATTAAATGATATCCTAGTTATGAGGCGCTTAGCGTGCCATATTTATGTTCATACCACATTTTGACATCAGGCGTGATCTGTTACGGAGCAGACGCACGGCAACATGGAATCAACTGTTTATTTAAAAATTGTAGCTATGGGATCAGTAAGCGTTGATATGGGAACATCTTTTAATTCTCTCGCTCCCTTCATTTTTCTCTTCTTGCCAGAGTCTTCGCGCAGCATATCAGTAGATGGACAGCCAGTAGCCATCTCAACTTGTCAGAGTAGATTTTTTTAAAATAATGTTTGTAAATACATTTATAAATCGCATACTTAGTTATCGATGGCAAACATTTCCATTACGTTGTTTTATACCCGCTCACTCGTTCACAGTCCTTAAGAGCGTTCTTATAGAAGATAGCAATTTCAAGTTGATTATTTCCATGTTGATTTCACAAGTCGTTTGAAAAGAGGAACTTTGGTGTCACGTGGCAGTGTATAGGTATCAATAACATCCGTCCTCATACCGCGGTCTGTTTGGCGTGCGAGCAAGCTCTCGTATTTGCGTTTTGCTTTATGGCACAGCCGGCTATTTCGTCCTCCGCAGCTGCCTAAAGAAACGTAATGAACCTTCTCTAAGCAGCTAACCAAATTTATTGAAAAAACGTTGTTTGCAATCTAAAAGAGTGAAGATCGTATGGAATTGGCTTAGTATGATAACATGACAACGACCCACACGGTTACGATACGTGTAAAATACATATACTATATTTTTGTTACATTGAAAGGAATATGCAAAGTGCCAATGAAATGCAACTTCCTCCAGTCTCTTGGAAGACTTGTGTAAAAGATGAGAATATTTATATATTTTCCAAGAAATAACAGATAGGAGTGATGTGATTTATGACTAAAAATATTTTTGTACATTCCATTTTTTACAGATTGTGTTAGGATGTTATTAAAAATATCAAAACGTGTTCGACTATTGGCTGTTTTGTTTTATTATTTTTCCATACATTGTCGGTGAAGTTCTTGCCTTTTTTTTAGGGCCGGTCTCAATGGGGCGATGGCTTAACGGCTAATGGTCCTGAATTTTGACCATTCAGTAGCTAACGGCTAATTTCTTTCCATTATGGTAAAAAGCAAAAGTTTCACAATTAACTTTTGCCGTACGGCTGCGATAAACATGAGCTGATAGAGTCCAAGGTAATTTAATTTGTTAGGGATGCGAGCTCATCCCCAACACTACCACGAGCATTTTGTCCTGACTGAAAACGTTGTCATTTCTATACGCTTAAACCGGGCTTATACGACCAGCCATTCCCCCATTTCCGTCTCTGTCTGTCTGTTTATCTATTTGTCCGTCTGTGTGTCTGTCTGTTTGTCTATCTGTCTGTCTCTCTAGCTTTCCTCGTTCAGATGTATCATGTGACATTTTTTGTTTTCAGTCTGTGTTGTTCTTCTTTTTCACCATTATTCCTCTATGTTACATTTTGATCCATTTTCTTCTTTTGATGTTCTTATCCGTTTCAAAACTAATTTCCTAAGGTTTCAACCCATTTTAAGGTAATTTTGCAAATCTAGTGATAAAGGGGTGACATAAATTGTCTGAACTGGCTGTAACATCGAGTCGTTCACTCTACGCCAGACAACGCTGATATTACGTTTGGCGCTTCAAAATTAATATGCAAACGTAACCCAGGATTTTCAAAGTTTCCGCCAAAGTTACTCAAACCTTACAGATGTGGTGGCCTTTGGACCTGAATGAAAATCCTCGCAGAAATTAGATCTGTAAAGAATTCGGAAAAACATTGGCCAGGAATCAGTTGACTGGTTGATCATTAAGAAAATCATTTCCGTCGCTCGAGAAGCAAGACCTAAAGCATCGGGTTTCTGCCTATTTCTTCACTTTTTACAGCAATAGATGCGTCTTGGACAATTTAACAAGCCCGCAAGCTTTTAGCTCCTGAATTAAGTTAAACGAATTGTACGTCCCTGAAGACTTTGACGTCCTTTGAAAGGTCTAGAAACGATACTGCTTATGGCAGCCATTACAGCATGTTTTTATCCATGTTAATTTTGAAAAGTAAAGGAAATGAAACAGAACGGCTCTGCGGGATGTATTTTTTAGTGTATATTAATGACGTCTGAGTATGAAGAAGAAGCCCAAAATTTAGAATTACAAATTTCAACTAAAACACTTTCATCAGAAAATATTTTGAGAGCTCTTTGAAGCATATACGTTTCTCGTCGAGTTTTTTCACTATTTTGAAATCCTAGTTATTTATAATATTCTCTGAACAAAAAGATTAAATACAAATTCAAACCAACATGTGGAGCAGTGGGCAATGTATATGGAACAAGGGAACCACAATGCAAATCCCAGAAAATGGGTTCACTGAATCAATTTTTCCCAAAGCTCCCTCTGATTCTTCGTATATTCCTGTCAATATAACATAACTTATCCACCATCAAAAGAATGCTCTTTTTTAGGTTCATCAAATTCTTATAATCTTACCTATTACAAAAAGTATCATCAGTATGCAAATCAAAATTAATCTTTCGGCGCCCTCAAAGACAGACGGTTTATTTACTTTTGGCGAAATGCACTTTGTCAACTTTCTATTTTAGAATTCGGCTGCTTCTTTGTTTGGTTTCTAAAACTGACTCTATTTGATCAATGCCATCTTTTAAAAGCATTTTTAAAAAGTAATGTGTGATACTGCTAAGTCCCCCCTTACAATGAGTGGTTCCGGTAAAAACTTCTTCATTATGATCTTTTTTCACGTTCTAATGGATTGGGTTTAAGTATCATGCGCTCATTTGAAAAATCGTGCTTTCATTTATACTAAGAAAGCTATTAAGTACCTGGCCTTAAACGTTTGAAGCTATGACTTTCAGTTCTAAACATAAATGAAATATCTTGTTACCTACACATTTGAGAAGAACCTTTTACCAAAAGTACACCAAGGTAGGTAATGGTCTAACTGAGCGTGAAATTTATCGGCAAAGGAAAAAAAAAGATGTGAGATGTATACAACTGTTATGGATACAGGTCAAAAAGCGAATAATACTGCAATAGAGGTTTCTGGGTCGTATCAGTTATTTTCTTTGCTGTGCCATGGGAAGAAATGCTGTTTTGTCGCTTTAAATGCAAATTCCCTCCTTTCCCCCGGCTTTCGCATCTGCCTCTTAGACTTCTCAGTGGGCGGCCAGGTCCAAGCGAAATGAGGAAGTAACTCAGATATCATTTCAATTACAAAGTGTAATAGTTCCCTCCAAAGTTAAGTTTAGTTCGTTTAAATTGATAGTTGGCGACAGAGACCTGTAGACAGAACGAAATGAAATTGGTATGCTTTAATAATTGATCACGTACAAGCTTGAAAACCCGCAAAGAAACTAAGTTAGTTTTTTAGAGGTGTTGCCATACTCCAGGTGACTGCACAAGGACAGCTAGTATTGAAATTCATAATATTCTTAAAAGCAACACTCATCATTTCCAGCATAAACTCCTCGTCGTCTCTTGAATTTGAAAAGAAAATTGCCTTTTAACAGCGTGCATGGGCCAAGTTTGGAAGTGGCCAAAGACTGGTAAGTGTCATTTGAAAGCCTGAAAACGTCTGAGGCTTTTTTTTTTTGGTTAACATTATTCTGCCTGCGTGTAAAGCGTTGTGAAAGAATCGTTTAAGGTTTTCATAATACTGTAAAAAGGGATGAATAAAGAAAAATTGTTCACAAGACCCCTTCAAATGCTCAATTTTTAAAAGCTTTCAACCTTTCTTCATATTTAAATTTGTCCCTGATTGCGTCAAGCAACCAAGAAAAGGAAATTTTTTTCTACGCTCTAGTATTAAACGGGCGAGTTTCCTCACTCGATGTTTGTGTAAAAAGACGCGTACTTATGGAGACCAAATCTTTTAATTTTCATTTTCTTGCAATAGTGACCTCAATAAAAGGCGAAAATTCCCTTCGTTTATAGTTCTTGATAATCACTTCGCTTGGCTTTTTGGATTCACTTAGCACTGTTTTATAAAGAGGTCTATTCACTAAAATTTCGATCAACCAAGAATTCAGGAAAGTAAACAAGTTTTATTTAATATATGCAAATATTAGATGAAGAGAGACCAGAATATTGTATCCGCGTGGGATGCAGGACATTTGTAATAATCAACACGAAGCACCTAATGACAGGAAAGATATATTTTGCTTTTTAAGTCTAACATTTTCTTTTCATAATTTTGAGACGCATTTTGTTTTTCTTCTAGAAAAATTACGAGAGAGAAAATTCAGAATTCGATATATTGCTTATTTATTTCGTGTTTTAACTTGCTAATAAAAAAAAAACGAGTTCAAGATAAGAAAAATCCTCAGGGATAAAGCTCCTTTCTTGAATTTCACCAGAAACGTTTTTCAGTGATGAATTCGTACATCAGAAGCTGCGAAGTAGCGTATCTTCAATAAAGATTTTTCCACTCGATTGTTTCGTAAGCCTGAGTTTATCACGAAAAAAAAACCCTCTCTTGTTTAGGCTAACCGCATGAATTTTCCTCTACTATTTTAACCCTTTCACTTCCAAGACCTCAATTATTATTTCTCCTCACAGCCTGCCAAACAATTCGTATGATGTTAGTTCAGAGATATTTTGGATCATCTAATGATTCCCAAATTGATATATTTCTTTATTCCCATCACTTGTCTGCCTGATGTTGTAATGAAAATGCGAAGAGAAATTCTATGTTGGTCACTGATGGGAAGAGTAGGTAAACGAATTTTTTTACTCCTAAACGACGCTGTTTATTTCTTGTATATGATAAGAATACTACAGAGCAGATGTAACATTTTACAATTAAATCTTAAAATTTTATCAAAGAAACATCTCCCGACATGTTTCTTATTGAAAGAAAAATATTGCATATATCTTTTTCTTTACTTTTGAATTAGTTTTAATACTTAATTCAAATCCATGATACTTCTGAAGCTTTTAAACTTACGACTTGGAGTTTTCATTATGACTTGGGTGTTTTCTTAATCAAAATGGTGCTTCGAAACCAGTTGTTTAGAAACGTTTTTAAGCAATAAGAAAAGAAAAATACTAAACATCTTAATTTTGAAAAGTGAATTAAGGCTAGTTCTAGAGCAAGTTATGTACGAGTTTTGTAATTCATAACACTTAGGACTTACGACAGTTACTTTTAGGTAGACAAAATAGTATCACAAAACACGTTTTGAATTCTCGATTTTTCTCATAGGGATAAATGTATATTTACTGGTGCAATGATCATGAACACTCGAGAAAAAAATCTAGCACAACTTTATTTGACAAACTAATAGCTCCGTTTCGAGAACTTGTTTGAAGTAGAGCAGGCTGTTTTCGTGTTAATTGCGGGGCGTTTGAAAAATACAAACGCTTGGTGAAGAAAAGGTCACGAGCGCTCATATTAAGGAAAAACACTTAATTGAAAACCGAATTGCTGTATTGCTTCCTGTAAACTAAAATCATAGCAGAGAATTGTTTTTTCTTTGCTTAATTTTTTTTCAACTTCCAAAATATAGTTCCAAATAATACAGGTACTTCCTATCATAACATATTTCTCTGCTCGCCACAGAGGAAATTTGATTTTGGTGTACATGCTGTCACCTAGTAAGAAAGACCACTTCGGGATTATGCTCTCCATATCTTAACTATCCATTGTCGAAATTTAAAAGAAGATCTTACAATATAAAAGAGGAGCCTTGTTGTGAAGAAAAATCATCAGATTTTGGCTGTTGAGGATTGCGTGCGATACCACTTGATGAAATAAAACACTTCCCATTAGAACTGAAGGATTAGCGATTGGCGTGACATAAGACAGCAATAAATCGCCTAGATTGTGTGTCTTGATGCGAGAGGAGAAATTGATTAACAATTTAATCAAAGTGGGTCGATAAATACTATGGTGCAGGAAAAACAATATAAAAATACTTGCACGTAAGCCGCAAGTAGGTTGAAGACTCTTTTCATCCATTCAAACGTCAGGTGAGTGAATTTAACAGATTCTGACTTTTTTCTAGCCAGGAAACCCAGGAATGAGTAAACTACAACTGAAAGGTAAAAAAAAATTGCCAAAGCGCTGAAGGAAAATTTCATTTGTGATTAATAACCTTTTTGTTTTACTTGTGACCTTTGCTATGATGTAAAGCAATCTTAAGTCTTCTGTCGATGTGGAGTGCTTCTCGATTTTAAACAAGCGTAAAAACCGATAACTACAATTCGTAGAATTTATTGAAAAACGAACAGAATTATCCGATAGTTTTGAATTTTATTCCCATCTCCAAAAAAAAAATAACCGATAAAAATTGTGAATACATCTTGGAAGCTGCAAAAAGTTAAACGGTCTTAAACTGATCTGTAGAGAATATTTTTTTCGCCTTGCCTACTACCAACGTTCACTTGAGAACAACTGTATGTAGAACTTTTTGTCGCCTAGTTTCCGACTTTTCAAGCAATCCGCTGAAACAGGGAATTATTCTTTGGATATGTTAGGTGATGGGAGCAAAAATATTGATTCAGATTTCGTAGTGCGCTGATAAAAAACAATTATTCTCGACCTCCATTACTCATTTAAACATATTTTTTTTCTTTTTTAACCAGAAAAACTCAAGAGAGCGTTTCCGTCGTTCGAGAATTATTTTGTAGTTTTAAGCGTAATTCTCGCCGTAGTCCCAGCAACAGGTACTTTAAACGAATAAAAATAGAATCTTAGCGTTTATTTTGTTGAGAAATAGTGGTGATACATTTGAAGTGAACCAAGAGATTGCAGATTATTCAAAGAGGGTTCGCAAAGCTAAACAAAATCAGTAGAACGCGAATGGTATTACATTCAAAAATTTCATGTTAAGAAGTTTAGCTTTCAGGCTCAACTTTTTCCAATACCTTGGCTGTGAACGTAAACATAACTCAAGATCGTTTCAGTAAATGACAATTGGTGCCATTTTGTAGCATAGGATTTGTTACGTAACAGAATTCAAAGTAGCTTTCGAAAAATAATGTCCAAGGTTAAATTTATCATTGTCTTAGAGTGGTTCATGAATCAAGCGAATTTTCAGGTGAAATCGAAGCAAATTTTGAATAGTTGGTTTCTTACCATAGACTCGCGAAGTAAATTTTATTGCATATATCCATTATAAATTGTATATTCTGCAGGAAAAATAAGTTACTGCAAAAAAAAAAAAAAAAAAAACCTACAGCAATAAAAAGATTACCACTCGTCAAAGAAAGAAAAAGGCTTCAAAATGCTGCTAGCTCTGGTCCAATCAAGTGTCCGACTTCGCACGATAATAATTCATCCGAATCATCCACGTAAGAGCTATCTGCCATGTACAACTTAACAAGTGATGATTTGAAAATCTTACTTTTCTTCCTTTAGACTTGTTAGTCAAATGTTCTGCTTCTTGTAATGAAATTTGTTTTAGCAAAACTTCATTCACTCATGACTGTATAAGCAAATAATAAGACTTCTCTGGATTTTAAAATTTGGGTATAAATTGTTTCTGTAAAGCTACTAAAAGAGGTTGGAGCCTGAAAAACGAAATTTATAACTTATGAAATTACACCTTGGTGCTTTGGCCACGACTCCATCTACTCACCCATGGAAATTAATATTGCCAATAGAACTTCTTTGCCTTCGGCTTAAAAAAATATCTAAGCCACCCAAATGATAAAACTTTCTAGATGGAAGACTTTAAATAAGCAAACAAAATATTAAACTTGTACGTCACCAGACATCTCTAGTATCTAAAACGTGTTTTGAAAATATGTACCATTTCCTTTAATTTCAATTTGCAAAATTTGTGTAGTTTCCTGCAAGTCTCGCCATAAACTACTTTTTTGTTAGTAAGTAGGCTAATAATATTTAGAGTTCTTTTGAAGCTGTAAGCAAAATCCGATGAGACAGAAACAATTACCTGTTTTGTCTTCATAGAACAATTGTGAGATAAACTGCGCAGTAATAATTTGTATTCTTTTCTTTGGGGAAATTAAAGTTTACTTCTCCATTGTATCCTGTTTATCATGCAGAGGATCACCTAACGGTCCAACGCTTGGCGGCAGATGACTTGACAAAGACTTATGTTTACTTTTATTATTGTTGTCGCAGAACTTGAAAACTTGAAAACTTGAAAATGCGTTAAATTAGTGTATTTGTTAGAGGTGCCGAAATGCACCAATTAAATTGCACCGAGAACGCACCAATGACAGCAAGCCCCCAAGCTGCCTTCATCGACCCGAAGTAATTCAACCCTATCGCCTATCAAAGGCTAACAAGCTAAATGGCAAACGATACTTCGATATCAACAATTGATATTTGCCCTAAAATGCAAAAATTCCTTATCTTTTGGCCCTTTTTGTGTAATTAAAATATTCTAAAAAATACGGCTTTTCATTTGCTTTGGAAATTTGCGTTGAATCAGCGCATATAAAATTTCAGGTTTATATTAAAATTTTTCATGTAATTACGCGAAGTTTCCTACACGACGAATATCTGCTGACAATAAAAACAAAGTCAGAAATTTCTCAGGGCTTGCGAAGGTGAATTTTTTGGTAATCATATTTGACGCGTTTTGCATTTGAGTGGTGAGCCTTTATGCGCTAAAAACTTTCAATTTAATACAGGTTAATTTTTTTATCTTTTCGTGTGCGCTGTCGCAGAAAGTACTTCAGAATTATTTAAAAATGTTCCATTTCCTGTGTTCTTTTGTCTGAAGAGAACGTCTCGGTTAGAATTTTGGATATCTATAACAATTTATGTGTCAAATTGGTCAGTCGTTGTGCTAACAAAAGAGGAAAAGCGACAGATGGTCGGGACAAAATTAAGCCGATAAAGTACTTTCATAGAAGGAGAAGTCGGATGTTATTCAAACTAGGGTGCATGCTTAGTTTATCTTTTATTGTCATCCTAAAAAATCGTTTTTCTTTTTATTAATTTCCTTTGGTTTTTATTGATCGGCGAATGGCTGTTCATCTCTCGAAAAAGAAATGAAGCCTTAAAAAATCATTATAGAACTCAATAAATATCAAATACACTCAAAAAAGATAAAGCATTCAAATATTGAATTTGGATAATGATGATGTCAGTGCATCGAAAAAAAGGTAAAATTTTTCATGTTTCCGAGAGTCAAGGGTCAATTATGGCTGGCGAATGTCTAAAAAGAGCTTGATTGGCAACATGAACTGTACACCATGGAAGATTTTCTCTTTTAAGTTTGCAGTGTTTCTTCGCTGACACGATTATAGTACTTTTATATATGCAATATTGACAGTGTAACACACTGACAGGTTAATTAACGAAGAAAACCATTAACTATTGGGTTAATTTCGTGGACCGCTGACTTGGACAAAATTGATCCAGACTTTCCAATCAAGTTTTATTTCGAGTTTTGAATTTAAATTCTCTTTAGGTCTTCATGAAATTTAATTACACTTTAATATAAACGGCAATAGATGACTTGACGGACTTATGGGAAAAAAATTATGATATTTGGGGAAAACGTATATCCTGAAATTTCATCTGAATTCCAATCTAATGGCAAAAAATCTTCAGTACATACTTTCTCTCGCAAATTTTACGCAGGCTTAGCCATTCTTTGTAACTCAGTCAGAGGTAGTCTTTAGGGGCAACATAACGACTGAAAGAGAAAGCTGAAATACTTATCTTTTAGCTACGAAACCAGGTGAAATTAATAAAACTGTTACTAGGTATTATTTTTCTCCCTAGCATAATATTTACTAGAATAAAGTCCAAGGTTCGCCAATTTTACACCCAATAAATGCTTTTATACTTTTACTTCACTTTATTATTTACCCAACCCTCGCCGAGCGTTATCCATGACAGTTTTGGCAAATGAACAAAGGACAAATTTTTTCATTGTCATTTAGCAGGTGCAGCTAGCAACAGCATAATTAAATTTATTTCTCATTTTTTACCTTACTAGATACGTCGAATATCGAAAGATCACAAAGGAGGTAGAAAAAACATTCAATGTTCGAGAAATATCAGGAACAAACGTCCTTAAAAAAAACCAGGATAAAAAAGGTATATGGAATTTTTGTTAAGTGTTTTCACATGATAACCAAATTGAAATCACAAGAATTATGATCACAAATGATGTCTTACTCTTATTTCTCCGTGTTAATAGCAGACAGCGTAACGAAGCTTGAACGGCAACGCTTTGAATTGATTTCGCCAGAAATTCATTTGGTTTCATGACTAATTTTCGGGTTGCCCTAAGTTCATAGTAATGGGTCCTAAATCAGCTATCTGATGTTATGAATTTCCGAGAAATTTCATGTTCATTTTCGAAGATTGATTCCAAAACATCCACCATAATTTTCTTCCTGCGATGGCAAAATCATATAACAGGATGTAAAAATGTTTATATCTCAAAATTTGACTACGAAGCAAGATGATAGGTTTTATTATTAACTTTCTTCTCAGTTTATGTTCAAGACGCAAATTCAGTTGCATTTCTATCCAAAGAAGAGGTTTAGTTATGAACCCAATTCGAATCGTTAACGAAACATTGATCTAGATGTATGGATCCGTCGAGTTTCTAGTCTTGCCATGGATTGGTTGCAAATAGAATGAAGATATGTTTCAGGTTCCGTGCAAAACTCGTGTTTTTAATTCAAATGTAACATTCGAAATGCGTCACTGGCACTCTTGATTCTTTTCAACTGAGCCAGGTGGACAATTGAGGACATTGAAACATTATAACATCACCGGAGGAAAAATATTTTCAAACTAGATTGTTATTGGCTTTGAGTTCTTGACGAAAAAGTATTTGTAATTATTTAAACATCATCCAATCGTACATGTTCCAAAAAGGAAAACTGAAAAAGTAAAATACATTTTAACTCGTAGAGCATTTGAATTTGTAATTACTATTCCGCTGTCAGTAGGTTTTTTTCGAAAGACAGTCCATTCGATTGATAAAAACACATATCACGATATATGACAGCAATTTTGACCACAGACAGTTAAGATCAAATTCATACTCATTAAGATAAAATAGGCTTTAGATCTACCCAAAAAATAGAAAAAGGTAATGAAAATGAAATTTAAATAATAGAATAGCCTATTTCATATTTCAATTGATTTTTTTTTGTAATTTATATAGCTTTTTGTGATAGCATTATTTGAATACCTGATGTTATCTTTATAAACAGCGCTCTGCTCTAGGATATCCACCTCGTGTTACATTGGTAGTTAGAGCATAAGCTTGGGGAGCCAAAACTCAAAGGAGCTACTGTAACATCTTCAGTCCAATATTGCTAATATCACACACAGTGAATGGATGTGAAGAGTGCTTTTGGCATAATTTCTTTTTCTATAATTTGCTTCAAATGTATCCATTATTTTTAAGGTTTTACGGATTTACAATTGTGTTTTTGTAAGTATATATTTTTTCTGTAAATATTGAAGACTCAGCAAAATTTATACCCTAAAAATAACACAAATGGAGGCTGCAAAGTTTAGCTCACGATTGTTCTATGAAGACAAAACAAGGAAATTTTTCTACCTTATAGGATTTTTCCTACAGCTTTAAAATAAGTTCTTGATATCATTAGCCTACTTTCTCACAAAAAAGTAGTTTTTTCGGCGAGACAAATTTTGCGAATTGAAATTAAAATAAATGGTACATATTTTCAAAACACGTTTTAGATACCAGAGAATTCTGGACACGCACAAGTTTAATATTTTGTTTGCTTTTTTTAACGTCTTCCATTATCCAGAAAATTATACTTTCTAAAACCAACATACAATCAAAATATTTTAAAAGCGACAGCGGCTGATAATTGTCAGAGAAAGAAACAATTTCCTTTTTTTTCTAAGCCGGAGATTAAAATCAGGTTTTTTTGCTATGTTGAACCTTGAAAAGTTAATTTTTGTCCATGTTCAAATAGAGAACTTCATATTTGTTTTGATTTTTAAGTTTGCAAATTGGTCTTTTTTCGGTGTGTTAAAATCACAAGGAAAACAAATAATTTCTTCAAAAGTATAAAATACTTAGGCACAGAATTCAAATACTTGATCGTAATTCAACCAACTCCTTTCTAACATAGTTGATATAAATTCAAACGAGTCCAATCAGATATAATGCTTTCAGATTTCGAAGCGTAATCTACTTCCAGTTTACTGATGGAGCGAAAAAATTTAAGGGTTGAAAATAAGCGTTAAAACAGGAATTCCCTCTCATTGATGAAAGAGAACGCAAATATTTTTATTTTGTACAATAAAGCCATGACACACCACAGAGTGACAAAAGATTTTTTTCTTAGCCATTCAACGTTTTTGTTGTTGTCGTAGGTTGTTTACTTTCTCCCATATAATTTCCAGAAGAAGAAATATGTTAAGGTTTCTCGGCTGTATATTTGTCATAAATAAGCCAAATATCAAATTTTCGCTCAGAAAATAAGCTTCCTCCTGAGTAAACACACCATCTGCATGAGGCTGAGCTCCGAATTGGCTTCATAGAGAGTGTCATATCTAATAGCACGTTTTTAAAAAAGAAATTGATTTTAAAACTCATGAGTAGGTAAAATTTCATTGTTTTTACTTAACAGCTCCACTGTGGCTATCGACTGCCATCAATGCTTTCCATAACTTCTCAGCTTACTAGCTTAAATGAAACGTTAATTTTTTAAATAATCTGTATTATAGATTATAGACAAAATTCTGTTATGCAGAACCATAGTTAGAAAAGATCACTAGCTTGCAAAACTCTGAAAATAATTTTTATTGGTCGTTGCAACATTTTTCTATTCGCCTGACCGTACTTAATGTTACGTAGCATTCAAATTATTGACCAATAGAGCCTCCCAGCGATTTATACAGCAAAATGTGCGAATTATAGTAAGATTGTGCAATGTCTGGTGCTCTTAATCCTAAGGACAGACCATTTGTTTTCACTTTTCATTTTTGACAATTTTTCTTTTATATGTACTAGAGCTATTCACTTTCGATGAGCCACATGAACATGTCAGAAATAGAATCAATTTCGATGACAAAAAAATCAGCCTAAACAATTTTCAGTGGAGATACAACTATATGACAACAAACTCGCAAGAGAAAAATATCAACAAATGTCAAATTTCCGGGCTCATTTTGACTTCAGACTGCATCCTCTCTCCATCTAATTAAAAAAATATATAAGTCCTGAATCAACATTTTCAGCTTTTCCAGATTGTATAATTAATAATAAGGATAGAAAAAAGAACTATGATGTCATCGATTATTTGCATAAATTCTGTTTTTGACAGTTCCTAGTGGCATTCTGGGATTGAAGTTGTGTTTTTGAGCGAAGCCCTCTGGGCTCACTCACAAAGGCAATGCTTTCGTTTCATAAAGGCTTGGCTCTTAGTAGACCGCACTGCTGCCAAGAGATAAGACTGAGCGATCCCCACGACGTATCAGACACACAAGCAATTTGCAAAACAAAGATTAAACGAACGGCTCGGAGTTCACTCTGCTGATTGGTAAGACCCAAAATTAAAATGTGTTTTAAACATTATTTATGATTAGTTTTAATTCACTTAATTCAAGTAGCTTTTAGTTAGATGATTTTAATTGATGTCTAACAGATTTTTTATCCCCAACTGATTGATATGTAGAGTTCTTTTTCCATGACACTAATTTTCCACCATAATATTCTACTTCTACTGTCGTATGTTTACGTTGTCCGTCTGAAAATTCGCTATCAAGGACTGTATCTTCTCAATATTTCTTAACTTTCAAAAAATCATGAAATTATTAATTCCAGTATGAAATGAATCACAAAAAGTCAAACAAAGTAGAAAAATTAGAGATATTGGTGACACTTTCAAACCGTGAAATTTCCGGAAAAATTGGATGCCCAGAGACGAAAATACGTTCACATATTTTCTCAACTGAGCAAACACGAACCACACTGGCACATTTTAGCGAACAAAGAATCGAAAGCTTCTTATTTACACAGATAAACGAGATCACCGATATTTATGTCATCACTTGCTTTTTAGTCTGTCTTTTGCCTGGAATCTCACACGGTTATTTAATACTTAGTGACGTTGGTCCCCGTGATTTGGTTGTATCTCTTTTTCAAGCCTTTTATCCTTTTTAAGCGGCTTTGCCTTAAATCGGTATCCCCGATCATCAGAATGAGCTGCCGTGATTGGTCCAAGCCTAGACATGTTTTCCGAGTTCCATAACTCAGTGTTTGCACCCTATCACTGAAATAGACTCATTCTCAATATTTATTATTCCGTATCTTCATATTTTATTCGTCTTTTCATCACGCTTGTATGGAATCATTTCTTTTTTCTTCTCCTCTTTTTGGCAAGCATGAAAATATAGGACACAAAAGGTGCCTTTTTGTTTACAGGTAAACATTTTCATGCCAATTAAACAAATTTAAAGCATATATGTAAACAAGAGCGTCTAAAATCATAAAACACCATGTCCTTTCTAAACAGCAAAATAGAAAGTTGGTATGGCAACCTTTTCAATCAAATAAGACACTACTTTTTTAATCATTTACTTAATCTTGTTTCAATTTTTTTCCTTTTGACAAACATAACCAAATTTGCATAAACTCGCATTCGGTTTGATAACCTCGGTTGCTATGCGACGGTAAAGAAGCAATTGTTTTCGGCGAGAAATAAATCTCGGTCTCAGTGTTTTTCAGCTAGCCTGTAAACAGAGATTGCCTTATCCTGCTTGGACTGAATAATGGTATCATTGTCGTTCAATTGACGAATTTTTCATTAATGTTACTTTTTTTTCCTTTTTGAACAGATCCTTGAGAAAATATTGAGCATAAGTGAAAGCCTTTTTAAATTTACATTTTAAGTTAGTTGTATTTGCATCACGGTGGTGAACTTTAAGCCAGACCAGTTTCGAGTGACATGGATTGAGAAAAGCGAGAGATTCATTAAGAAAACTGCACTTTAAAGCAATTTACCACGATCGGCAACATCCTGCGCATTTTTGAATAGGCATCTGTTTCGATACTCAATAAAATCAATTTCAAAATTTGGTCATCTTTGGACAGTTTTGTTTTTGTATAAGCAAAAATTAATGAAAAGCTTTCAGACTTTCTTATTTACTGCTACATGAGCGTCAGCCTCAAGTTACTGAGTACTTGAAATGACGAGAGAGTATGGGACGAGAAAGTTGACCCTCTCCACTCCCCCTGAGTAGATAGCACGTCGTCTAAACGGCTGAGATACGAAAGACTTGTTCTCTAAAAAGAGGCTTCATTCAAATTCTTGGTTGCCTGAAATGTAAAATAGTTATGGACTAAGTAATACCTAGCTATAGATCTTAAATAAAACGAATATATGATAATTTCGGTCAAATCTAGACAATAACTCGAACGAAGATTATCATAAGACGCTTTCGCATTTGTTTTTTTTACAAAAAGCCTTTGTTCCACGATCGTTTCAGCAATAAAAAATTTTTGACCGGTTAATAATCTAAAGTGCTTTATCTCAAAGCGAACAGAACTTTTAAAGTGATAAATGGAACGAAAGTAAACATTTACTTGAGCACGTCACTTTTGCCCCCAGGGTACAGATAATTGACAGATGAATTAGTCTACTTTACAGAAAGATCGTCCACTTGTACAACCACGCAATCTGCATCTGACTAGAGGTTTCTCAATATACACCGCCATCGATACTAAGGTAAAGCAAGTCTATTCAACCTCGTTCAATTCTTTAGGTAGACTTGTGAATTCTGCTTTTCAGAGTGAAAATTCTTCTACTTGCGAAATCTGTAATTTCGTATTGATCAGTGTACGTGCATGTCAAAAGCATGGCTTCATTCCATTTGATATTGACTTAAGATGCATTGATACCAGCACGTTTGCCTTGAAAAGTGTACTTACAAAGGAAAATGCATACGCTTTGCACATTGGCAAGGCAACTTGTTAAGTGGACTCGAGTGAAGTATAATTTTTCCTGAGCTCTCTACAACATCTCGTCCTTGACAGAAGTCGTTGTAAATTTACCTACCATTGCAGCTTGTGATTGTTGACACTTCTCGTGGCCCAAAAACAATGATGTCAGTTTTAAAAGCGTATGCGTGGAGGGAACACCTGTCAAGAAAATCTTGTTAATGTCTATGACGGAAGTCACGTTCATTCATGAACCTTTGAGCTCCTAATGAATTTTAATTTCGATTAGAGTGAACAACACGTATGGAAGCATCGATGGCCCGCATGGATCTCTGAATTCTACCAAATTTACTGAACTATCTAAAAGTTTTCGAGTCAGGAAGGGGAAAACGTAAATTTCGAGTCAGGGAACCAGAAGTAAAGAAAATATACAAAATAGTAATAGACGGGTAGACTTCATCCCTTCCATTATCAATTATATTCCTATCGCCGTCCATAGAGCATTACCTACGCGCGTACTCCAGGGCACAAAACCGCTACCACCACTATGATCAATGATTCACCTGTTTGCTTCGCTAAATCGTCAGAGATAATAACAACACTCAAAGATAAAATTCGCGTACGCTCGCGGTCATGCAATATCCTAGATATATCGACTGAGTTTTTTATAACATAGATGTATGAGCTTATGTTATTGAACTAAAATCCCTAATATACTTAATACATATGAGTTTCAAAACACGTGCAAACTTTTGTACCAGCCTGAAGGCTAAAATAGCTATGAACAGCACTAATTCAAGATTTGCATCCGTGAAGTTGGACACAAGTGAGTTTTACTGATCAAAGGCACATTACTAAATTGAGGCTTTCAGAGGCGTCTATGAGGACACGAGGGTCTCGGTCAATCGAGATCTAAATTTCAATTTAATTCCAAGGACTGCCTTGTCAGCTGGATGAGAAAACGTGATCTCTTTTTCAAATGTACGTGCTAAGAATTACAATGTAAATTTCTTTCACCATGTATTGCTGATATAAAAGCGATCATGAAGTCAACCCCCAGGATTGAACTAGAAGACTGTGTGGAGATCTCGGCGCGCTCAAAGTTTGACAACTCGTTAGTCTTCCTAGTTCTTCATTTTACACGGAATTTCAAAATACTCCCTCATCAAGGTCACATATGTAATCGTATTCTAGAATTTATACTTGTTTCGGGTTTGTTCTCATAGAACTGGTTAGCGCTCGTGCCAACAGTCGCAACAACAGTCTCTGCCGTTGAAACACTTTTCATCAAGGTTACAACGAAAAGATCGATCCAGATAACCCAACTAATTTACTGACTTGTGGCAAAAATTCTTCATAACGTTTCGTTTGCAAGAGGCTTTTTTCACTCTCGACAAGCCTGCGTAGATGTTCGCTACAACAGTCGCCGATCAGTTATCTCTTTTTCCGTTTTATTACGTTTCATTATCATATTTTGCAAATCAATCTCTTTTTGCTTTATTGCCAGTAATCTAAATTTCAGTAAAGTGTCAGTGCAACTCGCCAAAGTCAATAAGCTCTTTGTATTTACTGATCAAAATTTTTATTACTTGGAGTAGTGTTTACTGTTTAAAATTCAGGGATCACCCGTCACGAATTAATTAGACTTGTCTTTTTAGGGGATTAGTCCTGTCATAAAAGCTTTTGGGTAAGTTTTAATATTCAAAACGAACTGCTCGTAGATTGTGATAGAAGGTTTAGTGGAAACTCTTGATCCACGATAGGCTCTATAGCCCAACCGTTTCGCTCCTGTGTAGTGGCAAAACCTTGACACAAACTTGACGTAATTATATGAAATAAAATTTCACTAGGCATAGGAAATTATACTTGTACCTTATCGACCTCAATTTACGGTAGGTCTAGATCGTACAATTGCGATTTTTTCCTTTTCGCATAGTTAAAAGCTCAAGTTGAATCTTCTTTTTATTCTTGCAGATTTTGTCATTCAAGAACCATTGTTGTTCACCTCTCTTCAGAAAACTTGAATTAAACAAAAGGTACTGTTTTGAACAAGAAAAGAAAGCAAAGAAAGGCGACAAGCTCTGGCTAATTCGGTAAAATATTAAGTTCGCCAAGCTACTTTGGATCCATTCAGAGAACAAAAGATTGTAAGGTTGTGAAATGGCTTTTAACAATTCATCTACCACGCGATGCAATGATGGTGAATGCCACACCGTTAACCTCATAGAATATTCTATGACAGAAAGAACAGTCATAGTGGCCGCGAACATGCTGATATTTTTACTCGCCATTCCAGCCAATGGGATCGTTATAACTGTCATATCACGTGTGCAGAACGTGCAAACGCCTACGAGTACATTTCTCATGAACTTGTGCATCGCGGATATTTTGATAGCTTCCTTGTATATTCCGTTTGTGACAGTCGATTTGTACGTGGCAGGAAGTTGGATATTTGGAGACACAATGTGTAAATTGGTCTCCTTCTTATATTACCTCGCAACGAATCTCTCCATTCTGATCTTAACAGCCATCTCCGTTGAGCGATATGTCTCCGTCTGTCGGCCAAGACAGATTCGTTTGACGGCAAAGAAAGCATTTGTAATTACAGTTCTTTTGTGGTTTGTCGCAGGGTTTACTGCTCTGCCGCTGTTGATTGTCAGAAAGTCTATATTCAATCCGATAGTCAATGTTTACTTTTGCGTGGAGACATGGTCTTTCAAATACTCCAAAGCTTACAAAACTGTCACGCTGGCTATGCTCTATGTGACGCCTCTTGTGTTCATGGCCGTAGTTTATTACAAAATCGGTAGAAAAGTTTGGACAAGTGCTGATAAAACAAGAACCATGAAACTCTCAACCAAGCATGCTTCAAACTCCAAGCTACGCCTGACGAAAATTGCACTAGCAATTATTTTAAGCTTCGCAGTGTCTTGGACTCCATTCAACACAACGACGTTACTCTTCTTCTATGACCGGAAAAATTTTCCATATTCAAAAGAGGCAATGCATGTAGCTCAGCCAATAATATTCTTTGTCGCTTTCTCCAATTGTTCGTTGAACCCACTGCTTTATTGCTACATGAGTCAAAACTTTAGAAAAGCTTTTCAAATATTTTGGAAGAGAAGATCACGCCGTGACCTTGGAGACTCCTTTTCTGTCTTCTCGAGGACAAGCACGAAACGATTTAGCAGAAAGAGTAAAAGAAGGGCGGAGGAGGCCGTGAAAGAGCCGAACGGCGTACCATTCGCACATGAAACTCTCCGAACAAAATCGGACAATCCCGACTACTCCCCGACAAGTCAGCAGCCGGAAATGCATAACACAGTGGAAAGCATTTTAATAACATCGGCAGTGTAATCGTCACATAACATGACTGCTAATACTGCAGTCCGAAAGCACGAATGGAATCGTCATTTCAATCAAATGTAAACAACTCAGCAAAACTCTGATTTTGCGATGTTTTCCTTTTTTCTGTTTTGGATCGGTTTTGTTTCGTTTTTGTCTTCTGTATTTGTCTCGTTTTGCCTCGGTTTTATCAAGGGTTCGCTTGTTTGTTTATTTTTTTATCTTTGTGTGGCTAGTACGAAGTGTAAAAGTAACTCAAGATCATAATCTGAGAGATCTAATAGTCTATGTTCCTATCCCGTGGTTTACTCTGAGATGAGGGTCCACTTTGCGCTAGTTTTAAGTTGGCAGCAGAAGAAGTTAATCGAAAATCGTTATAATCTTGACAAAGACTTAACCCTTTAAAATTTAGCGTTAGTATTCATATTTCCCATGTTGTTCTCTTTACATTTCTTTTGGTTCTAACAAAGAGAATTTGTTTGACAATCAGGAGATTCTGAAACTGGTGATCACTTCTGTTATTCTCACGTCTTTGACTCAAAGAGCATTTGATTCACGAGTGATACTGTAAAACTGGAAACGGAAAAGAAAACGAAAACGGTTTATCTTCCCCAAGAGGAAGATGAACAATTAAGGCTTTGACATGCCACGCTTCTATGGAGCTTGGCAACCAAGTAATGCCAAAATATTTGTGTCATCAAATACAAAGGCGCGAGCGTGCTTCAGGTTCTCATTGTGCACGATTTTTACGAGTATGTGAACGTGCGGAAGCGTAGCTTATAGACTTCCTCTTAGTAAAACACTGAAAAAACTGGCTGAAAGTTTAAAAAAACAAGGTCAGATCGGTTGGCTGTCTATTCCCAGCAGGGAAGTGCGAGATTTTGGGAAGGACAACGAATTGACGCTAATTTAAGAAACAACATCCTTCAAAATCAATTTCTCCAAATTTCTTTAATTTCTATTCGATCACAATCGAGCTACAAGGGAACTGCTTCACAGCGTTTGTAATTGTTAACTTGATCTGGACGTAGGAGTTTCCCAGTGGCGATGCGCGCCACTTTATGATCATGACGCGAGGAAATGTCTTACTGGAATTCTCTGATTTGATTTCGTCAAAATGTACATGAACTTAAACGCTTACAGCATAGATATCCGTACCTCGAATTATCCTTCCGGCGTCTTTTCGGAGATCGCGACCTGGATAGAGAGAAAGAAAAAAGCATGAATAGCCAAAAAAAATTTGTACTCATGCCATGAAGAAGTTTATTCGAAGTTTCTGATTCAATATTCACTATCGTTATCGTCGTATCACAAATCGATCTCAAAATCTGTATGGTACTGACCTTGAACGGCACCGTCTTTCAGGTGACCAGGAACGTGTGCTGAGGGAAAGTTGTTTACCATATCCAAAGCATAAAAAAGATAGATTCGAATAGACTTGAAAAAGGCGCATGGTTGAAACAATCCAAAATAGATATAAAATCGCCTTGCCGTTGATCGCGACTTCCTTTTTTCTCCTCCTTGCTTTTCTTTTACCCATTATTACAATTGCGAAAACCGGCCAGACACAACTTCGACAAAGATAACCACCAAGCAACTTCCACGCGAATCAAACGTGATACGATGCCATAACAGGACATTTGACAGAAAACCTGTCAAGCTGTCAAGCTGTGAAGTTGTCTTACAACTCCAAACACCTCCGGCCGGAAGTTTCGCAGGAAGACTTTTCGCGTTTCTTGTAGTTTTACTTTGCACCTTGTTGATTTCACTTTAAAAAGCTTCTTAAAAAATATATAAAAAAAAAACATAACCAATGCAATCGAACAGGAAAGTGGTATGTATTATTCCATGGGCATGACTACCTTATTCATTCTTCCGAGGTCTCCAAACCCAATTATTCATTATTTATTTTTCACTTAAACCCGCTATTCATTATTCATTATTCAGCTTCCACCCCCGAGAGAGAACAAGTCAAACATCTTTTCAGAAAATATTCCAGCTAAAAACCGCGAAATTAGATGATATATCAGATAATGCAATTATTGGTGATATGAAATTACCAAAAGAAAATTAAGAGAGAAAGGTGAAACCCCTTCTTACAAAATATTAATTGAAGATGAAATTCCAGATACTAAAGATGAAATTCCAGATCATGAGTTGAAAGGCTTATTTGATGATGGTGTTCAATTTCAACAGGAAACACAACTAGTATCGATACCCGAACTACCTACATATGAACAAAGTCTTGCTGACATTTTAAAAGGAAAAAAACAATTATATACTGATCCTCGATATCTTCCAGAGGGACCAGAGTTACCACCAGGATATGAAGAAGATGTTGAGATAGACTGTGCTATTGATAAAGAAGATGAGATTAATGTGTTATTAGCTGATTTAGGACTCAAGAATTATGATGATGTTAAAAAACAACGTAATAGAGTTGATATGACAAATACTCGCGCTGAAAAATTCTTGAACAAGATAATCGAACAAGCAACACATAAACGGCGCCAGTTAAACGGTGTAAAAACACAGAATATTCTTTTACACAAAAAAGAAGCAATGACAGAACAAGACCTAATCGTGCAAAATAAACAAGTCGATGACAGACGAGTTCCGAATGAGTAAGTTAGATATCATAAACAACGACTTGAAACAAAAAAGGATCTGGAATCAGAAAAAGAAACGGTGGGAGTGTGATTGGAAAAAGGGTTACGCCGGAAGACCATAATACAGATTGGGGGGTGCTTTAGATATTCACAAAGCAATCGGGAGGTTACCAAAACCAAAAAGTGGTTGGACCTTACTTTTTCGGAATGGAAAAACAAGAAAAGAGAAAGAAAGGTGTACAGATAAAATAAAATACTGATGAAGAAAGAAAAGATGCTATCCAAAGATCCAAGACAAAATATATGCTCAACAAGGAGTGGTATTGTGATGTTTGTAAAAACGGTCATAATTATTCATTGGCTGGCAAATGGAAGCATGATAAAAGGCAAGATGCACCAACGCTACATTAGTGATTAAACACCTCTTCAACTTTGAATTATCCGCAAACTGGTTATTTCAACTTTTTAAACGCACAATTCTGAAAGATTTATCTATGGGTATAGTATAATGGAAATGAATGATAAGCATAATCAGGATGTATATATTAATAGGGCTGATCTCAAAAAGCTCAGCAAATCAAAATTGATCAAACTGTTGTTGTTGAAACAGAATGCAGAATCAACTCCCAAACCAAGCATTAAACAAATGCTGAAGCAGAGAGACATAATATCCGTAGAAGACAAATCATTTTCTACAACAGAAAGACCAATCCCAAAACCACGAAAGAGTGTCAAAGAAATGGTGCAGGAGTATGAAGATAACATAATACTTCCAGCAATTGAGTTCAGAGATGGGCACAAACCTTTTCCATTACTTAGAAATATAAAACCTGTTCCAGCACTTCGAAATATAAAAGCAATTCTAATGCCAAGAACAAAAATAGGGCAAACAAGTAAAGCTCTGAAAGGATATACCAAAACATTTGAGGTTGATGTAAGACATAATAAAGACCCTTTAACACAATTACGAAACACCAAAAAAACTTTAAACAGAATTCAATCTTAAAAAATAATTAGATCAAATTGGAGTTGTTAAATATGTGGAAAAATTGAGATCAACACGTAATTAGTTTGATGGAGACGCCACAATCATTAAAGCAGCCTATTTCAACAGTAAAACCGAGACGGTTATCAATGTAAAATGACTTAATCTGGATTTATCAGATTCAAGCCAAGAGATTCAAAACAAGATAGCTGCTTGAATATCTGAAGGTTCCGGTTGGACTATCAATTTAATTGATAATCATTATATCCACGTTGTTAAATGTAACCCACCGAAAGGATCATCTTATATTCAATTACCATCAGAACTTAGAAACTCTTTAAATTGATAAACCTCAAAAATGAAGATAATCAATGTTTTCGACGGTGTCATATCACACATGATAAACAATATGTTGACGAGTTGGATTACCCAAGAATTGAATTTCCAGTATCTGTAAAACAGTACAACAGAATCGAAAAACAGAAAAACATTAATGTTAATGTGTTTGATTATGAAGCAATACAACCATTCCAATCTATTTATCAAAAGAACAATTTAAAGATGAGATAACCTTTACTTATAAGTGATGAGAGTGAAGAATTCAACTGGGGTGAGCCAACTGATGAAGAAATGAGACATGGTTTAGTGATAAATACAATGGAAGATGTCGATGGGAAAAAGTCTTACATGAAAAAGACATTAGTGGATCACTATGTACTTATCAAAGACTTAAACAAGTTTATGTACAATGAAACAAAAGATGGACAAAGGAAGCATTTCTGTATGTACTGTTTGCTGTATTCCACTTCTGAAGATATGTTGAACAAGCATAAAACAAACTGTATCATAATATATGGAAAGCAAGCAATTGAATTGCCTGTAAATTAGTCCTTTTATATTTTAGTCGTTTTTATTTATATTAGCCCTTTGATATTTCAGCTTTATATTTTAAATTTTATTAATTGGTTGTTTTATATTTTAGCCGTTTCGGTGGAATGTAATTTTTAAATATTCTTATGAACAATATTTGTGATATCTGTAACATTTTAAACATTTTTGTAAAGCGCTATTGGACATCGCTAGTAATGCTCATCAATGAATGAACCACTTCAGATTAAAGTTTGAAGAAATTAAGATGTCTGTTATCTTCCATAATTTGAGAGACTATGAAAGCCATTTTAAAATGCAAGAGATTGATTAAATAACCAAAAAGCATACATATACAAACAAAAAAGGGGAAAATGAACAGATGAACATAAATGTAATACCAAACAATATGGTAAAATATATGGCTTTCATGTTAGGAAAGCATCTTGTGTTCCTTGATAATTTTTAATTCATGAGCTCCAGTCTTGATAAACTGATAATAGGTTAGTTCAAAGACGAGGCTTTTAGTAGAGCAATTGCTCATTTTGTCAGCTTAAGATAAAAAATATACTCTTATAAAAAAGATAATGCGAGAAATGATAGTACAGCCAAAGGAATGAAAAAAATTGTTATAGAGAAAGACATCAAACATGAAGACTTTAAAAATGTGTCATTAAATAAAAAACAAATACGTTATAAAACGAAAACCATCAGAAGTCAAAATCATTAGCTTGGAAGTTATGAAATCAATAAAGTATCACTCAGCTGTTTTGATGATAAAAGATATATATTTAATGATACACAATATACAATCATATGAATATGGACATTATAAAATTAACCATTGGTTCATACGTCAGCGTGCGTTCATCGAGATATGAAGCACGCGGGAAGTTTGGAGAGCACGAAACATGCGTAGCCGAGAGCAACTCTCGCTTCTTGAGTGCTCTCTAAACTTCCCAAGTGCTTCATATCTCAATGAACGCATAGCTGACGTAGGAACCAATTGTTTTATAACATTTTCA